GTCAGTGATCCTAGATATAGTTTTCCCAAGAGTGTTTTCCTCCCCAAAGGCATCAAGAGATTGAGATTGGTAAATTGTGGGTTGAGCTCATCATGTTTGGTGGATGGCCAATTACCTCGTTTGCAAGAAATACACCTTCAAGATGTCAGTGCAGACGATGTGTTCCTGGCGAATTTGCTTGCTAGTTGCCCTAACCTTGAAAATTTAACTCTGAGAAGCTGTTCCGGATTGACGAGGCTGGAAATCTTCTGTCTTTTTAAACTAAAAACAATGGTTTTTGAACACTATGAGAAAGAAATGAAAGTGATTACAATTGAGGCACCCAATCTTTGTGAGTTTTATTTTACGTTTAATGGCAGATTTGAATCTAAATTTAATATCGGGGCTTGTAAGAATTTGGAAGTGCTGGTACTATATGGCTACCAGTTGGATGACTATGGCCTGGCTGACATTCTGAATAATCACCTGATGCTCAAACGTCTATCACTGAATAGATGTCATACTTTACATCAAACTGTGGTTTCGAGTCAAAGTCTGGTCGAATTCATTTGTTTTAGGTGTAAGGCTTTGACAAAGGTTATAATTGATGCACCCAACCTCAAATTCTTCTTACATGATGGAATAGATCCTACAACCTTTGTGTGCAAGGGTCCAAATTTCAAGTTGAGATATGCTTCCATCCACTTGATACCTAAGAATCGAGAAAAAGTGTGGTTTAATGGACTACTTAAATTTCTTGCAAAGCTATGTTGGACTGAAAGTTTGTCGCTTTGTGTGTATAACAAAAAGGTACGCAATGCACTCTGTATAATATTTCATTCATGAAGGATGTGCTTAGTTGCTAAGGGTTCACTTCTAGAGGGAAAGGGGAGGATGTGATTCCCCTCATTTTGGTTCAATACAGTTTATTCTTAACTTATTAGTTGAAATATTATACAGAATCTTCTTTCAGAAGAAAATATTGTCTTTAAAATATCACTCCATAACTTGGACGGAGTAACACATACTTTTGGCAAAAAAAAGATCAATTATCAAGGAGGTTAAATTTCTATAAAATGTATTTATTAGTCAATCACTCTTTCGCTCCCCCTCTCATCCCCTACTACCAAACCCAACCTCAAGTGTATGTGCGTGTGTGACTGTGTGTGTTTGCGCCCAAAGTCATGTTAGATTTCTTGACATTATTTGGCTCTACCATACATTTTCATGTATCAAATAATCAGTTGTATTTATATTATGGTAATATATTTGCCATTTTGTTAACAAAGGATGTGATTATTCCGGAGACGCTGAGGATGAAACGTCATCCTCCCCTGTATTCTGTCAAGCATTTAAAGATAGAGTTCCGCTATTCCACATTGAAGCATCTTGTTGAAGTGATCCAGTCCCTATTGTGGCTTGCTCCTTGTCCAGAAACTATATCCATAAGCAGGTCGCCTCTCAAAAAGAAACTCAAGGTACTCCTATCCTGTGAAACATCATCTTCTAGTTCCTATTTTTCTCCTATATCTTGCCTTGGTGTGAAATTATATCTATGCAACTTATGTGCACTAAAATCTCAAGCATAAATTTGATTAGCTTATGAAAACAGTTATAGACAAGGTACAGAATATGACATGTATACCCCTGACTAAATATTTATGTGTGGTGATAGTTGTGTTCATAGGCTTTTGTTTCTGCCTTTTCAGTTCACATATGAAAAGCCATTGAAGGGCAAGAAGAAATGCGGTTGTTGGAAGTATCTGTCTGTAAACTGTTGGAAGCACTCTCTTGTCAAAGTCCTTATTGAGAGTACAAGAGGACTTGAAGATGATGATACAGAGCTTGCAAATTTCTTTCGCAAGGAAAGGAATGACGTGAAGATCGAGTGCTTCTCTGAGAGCACATGTGATTCAGAATGGTAGCCGGACTTCTCTTGTTTCTCCACTGCTATATTTTTCAGGTTACAAGTTATCTTTTGGCATGCATATGTTTTTCCATGATCATGAACAACTTAATCTGAAGCATTAGGATAGGGCTTGCAGCTTTATTAGGGAAGATGGTGTAGGCCATTGGTAGTATTGAGAGAAAATGTGATTTTTGTTTCATCCATTTTTTCATACTCCATATTATTTATCCAAGTAGTCAACTCTGTTCAGTCCATATAAATTTTGAATGTTTTAACTTTAAAATTTTAGAAATACCATAAATTATCTCTTCTATTTACTATTCACAGTGTTATATTTTATTTATTTTGTTTGTTTATTTTTGTCGCTTGTTTGATAAAATAAATTTGGTAAACAAAGGCTAATGGGTGCATGCGTTTGTGGAGGCCACTTGGGAGGAGTAAAAAAAGATAAAAGAATAATGCTCAATAAAGAGAAAAATTATATTCCTATTGTTCGTGGTTTGTGTTTAATTTATTTCTAAATTGATGTTGAAATTGGAGTAAAAAAATGTTTACAAACTAATATAGTCTCAAATATTCGACGTAAAAAAATTAGTGGGAGGGATTGACGTTTCACAATATTCTCTTGTTGGTAAAGCTCACCACTGCCAAGTGCAAAGCTCACCAACAGAATGTATAGAGCTCATCAAGTTATACTCCAAAGCTCACCTATTTTTTCAACACTTGGTTTTTTTTTCCAAAAAAAAAAAATATTGGTATATATCAAAATAATGGATTTTAACCAATGTGACTGGACGTTGACTGCTGACTAACTTCGTTGATCACCACCACCGGTCGCTAGTCATTGTCCGCCGCCGTTCACCTCCGCCACAGGTCCCCGGCCGCCGATCAGTGGTGGTCCAAGTCATCCTTTGATTTTTTTAAAAAAAAATTTCAACCTAAAAATTTTGTGAGTTTCATGTGTATGTTTAGCAAACTTTTGAGTGAAGAATGGTGAACTCTGTATTAGGGGTTTGTGAGCATTGAAACTGTAAAATTTTAAAAATTCAAAGTCTTAAAAAATTATATAGAGTTTTTCCATAAAGTCTGGTAAGCTTCGCAGTTATTTTTGGTGAAATTTGCGTCATCTGACTGAAACATGACATCTTACCATAAGACATCATGCCATCATCTAAGACTTTATTACGAAGGGCATAAAGGTAACATTACAATCTCTATCTAAATTCATAGCATGATGTACAAAGATTTTATTTATTTAAATTATTAATTTAATTTATTTAATTATTCTATTGTACTTTTTTATTTTGTACATAACTTTTCTTATGCAAGTCCGTCATTGACAAACAATACTCCCTGCGTCCCACAAAATCTTACCCATTTTGAAAAGTATTTGGTCAAAAATTACACACTTTGACTACAAATTGTGAGAAAATATATTAAATTATAATATAAATTTAATATAATTGAATTTATCTTAGAATCTAGTTTTGATATATCAAATTTTTATAACATTTCTTTATATAGATTATATTTAATTTATGATCAAAGCGTGTAACTGTTTAAACAAAAATACATTGAAATGGGTAATGTTTTGTGAGAATGAGTATGTTTTAGAAAATCTTTTGACAAAATTTACCCAATGATACCAATATTTCATCAAAATGTAAATTTGGAGTTCTCTAAATATATACTACCTCCGTCCTAGAGTATTTGTCCACTTTCATTTTTACACACCATTCAATGCACTTCTTTAATCCATTTTATCTTGTAATTTGTATATTAAAAAACTATGAAAATCATATATTGATAATCTATATGTTAAGACAAATCAAATAAGATCACATGACTATATTTAGGCTTCTGGGACGAAGGGAGTATTCCATTCATAATTGGATTCTAATTGCACCAATGAGCACATGCAAGAGAAACCATAAGAATCCAACAAATAGAGATTTCTTTGGTACGCAACAAATAGAGGAGAAGATTGATGAGAACAAAACCTATAAACAAAAAGAGAAATAGAAATTGAAAAAAAAACTAGAAAAAAAATCCTAATAGTCTAATACAACTATAATTGAGTAAAATACGGAGTACATAACAGCCCCCTTCTATTAAAGGAAAGATTTAATTTGGTTTATTTTCTTACATTATTTTGCAAGTTCTGGGCAACAAAAGAACTGGTTAGAGGACTTGTGTGCAAAACATAACTGAAAGGGGATACTAAACCATCCAAAAATCGTACGTGATATTTCGAGACTGGGATCAGTGCGCTGTAAAATTCAATACCGAACCGAAACATTTGGTACGATATCGGTACAAGCTAAATGCTGTATCATACTGTTTCATGCTCACACCTAATAAATACTCCCTCCGTTCCAAATTAAATAATCTGTTTACAATTCAGATAATCAAACTTCATTCACTTTATTTTTTAATTTTTTTTAATTATTTGATAGAATAATATAGTAATGTCATTATTAGATTTTTAAATTTTTTGATGAAGTTTTTAAACATGTATTTTTTATTCTTTAATTCTACATCATTTTTTCATAGTCCGGTATAAAATGATTAGAAAATACTTAACTTTTAATCAAAATATTGTAAACCGAAACTTTGGCATAGAATTTGGACCATGCTACACTTACACCAAAACATATACCCAATTTGTACACCACAGTTTTGCTCAAACATTTTAATGGTTTACACCGACACAAGGGTTGGTGCGTTAACAAAAATTTACACGGACATAAATGTTGGTGCGTTAAAACAAAATTAGTTTTACACCAACACAAAATGTTGGTGCAAAACTGCGGGGTACAAATTGGGGTATATATCTTGGGGGTACATGTAGCATAATCCATAGAATTGGACCATGCTACACTTACACCAAAACATATACCCCATTTGTACACCACAGTTTTGCACATATATTTTAATGGTTTACACCGACAGAAGTGTTGGTGCGTTAACAAAAATTTACACAGACATAAATGTTGGTGCGTTAAAACAAAATTAGTTTTACACCAACACAAAGAGAGTGTTTGACAACGTGCTGCTTTTAATCATATAGCTTCTGCTTTGAGTAGAAGTAATTTTACTCTATTTGGAATGACAACTTCCGCTTTTCACTCCCACTATTTTATACATAGAACGCCGTTTCAGAGAACAGATAGGAGGTGCTTTTGTTTTGTTAATCACTCCCAATCACACCCAAAATATTCGTGCAAAACTGCCGTTTCTAGGGTTTGAAGACAAGTTTCCTCCAAACTTCCCAGGTGAATCCCTAATTCCCTTTGAACACACTTACTCATCCATCTCGATTACTGTTGTTATGACTTATGAAATCGATCATACTTCGATGCAGTAGCGCACACGCCATATAATTCCTTGTGAGAGATGGAAATTAGCGTGGAGAAGAAGAAGAAGCTTTATGATGGGACGAACTCTGAGGAATCGGATAGAATATCTGACTTGCCGGATTCAATTAAGCTGCACATACTTTCATTTGTAAAAACTAGGGAAGCTGTTAGAACATGCATTTTGTCAAGCAGTTGGCGGGCACTGTCGGAAAGCCTGCCCTCTTTAGCTTTGGATAAGTACTGCTTTTATTCTTCAGCAATGAATGAACGTTTGCCTGATTGTGATGAAAAGGATGGTGCCAGTAAAGCAAAGAGGGAGAAGATTCTCAGGGTGAGGAGAAGTTTTTATGCCTTTCTTGATCGGGCTTTAGGCCCTCAAATGGATTTGGATAAGCTTGAACTGTACTTCCAAGGTTATGATTTAGATTTGAAATCTCGCTTGGATGGTTGGCTTTCTGGCGCTGTTAGACGCCGTGTCAAAGAGTTGAGATTGGAATTCGGTGGCTCTTCCCGTGACCCTACATATAGTTTTCCCAAGAGTGTTTTCCTCCCCAAAGGCATCAAGAGATTGAGATTGGTAAATTGTGGGTTGAGCTCATCATGTTTGGTGGATGGCCAATTACCTTGTTTGCAAGAAATCTGCCTTGAAGATGTCAATGCAGACAATGTGTTCTTGGCGAATTTGCTTGCTAGTTGTCCTAACCTTGAAAAGTTTTCTCTGAAAAGCTGTTCCGGATTGACGAGACTGGAAATCTACTGTCTTTCTAACCTCAAAACACTGGTTTTTGAGCACCTGGGGAAAGAAATGAAAGTGATTACCATTGAGGCACCCAATCTTTCTGAGTTTTATTTTACGTCTGATGGCAGCATTGAATCTAAACTTAATATCGGGGCTTGTAAGAAATTGGAATTGCTGGAACTGTATGGCTGCCAGTTGGATGACCATGACCTGGCTGACATTCTGAATAACCATCCGATGCTCAGAAGTCTATCACTGGACAAATGTCATAATTTGTATCACACTGTGGTTTCGAGTCAAAGTCTGGTCCATTTCGTTTGTAAGAGATGTAAGGCTTTGACAAAGGTTAGAATGGATACACCTAACCTCGAATTCATCTCCCATGATTCCATAGATCCTATAACCTTTGTGTGCAAGGGTCCAACTCTCAAGTTGAAAGATGCTTACATTGACTTGATACATGGCAATCGAGGAGAAGAGTGGTTTAATGGACTACTTAAATTTCTTGCAAAGTTACGTTGGACTGAAACTTTGTCGCTCTGTGTGAATAGCGAAAAGGTAAGCTATGTTCTCCGTATGATATTTCATTCATCAAGGGTGTGCTTAGTTTCAAAAGGAGGGGAGCGGATGAGAATTGGGAGGACGTGATTCCCCTCATTTTTGTTCAATACAGTTTATTCTTAACCTATTAGTTGAAATAGTATATAGAATCTTCTTTTAGATAAAAAATAGTCTTTAAAATATCACTTCATAACTTCGACGGAGTAACTCATACTTTTGGCAAAAAATAATCAATCATCACTCCGCAATCCCTCATTCTGTCCCCTTTCATCCCCTACTACCAACACAACCTAAACTGTGTGTGTGTGTGTGCGCGCGCGTGTTTGCACCCAAAGTCATGTTAGATCTCTTGACATTATTTGGCTCTACATTATTGGTTATGTGTTTTCCATTTTGTTACCAAAGGATGTGATTATTCCGGAGATGCTGAGGATGAAACGCCGTCCTCCCCTGTATTCTGTCAAGCATTTGAAGATAGAGCTCTACGTATCAAGAATGAATAATTCTTTTGAACTGATCAGGTCTTTATTGTGGCTTGCTCCTTGTCCAGAAACTATATCCATATGCATTTATGGATCTTTGGCTCTCAATAAGAAACTCACGGTACTCCTATCCTTTAAAACACCATCTTCTAGTTCTTGCTTTGCTCCTATATCTTTCCCTTGGTGTGTAGTTATGTATCTGGGCAACTTTCGTGTGCTAAAATCTCAAACAATAAACACAACTTGTATGCATAAATTTGATTAGCTTATGAAAACAGTTCTAGACAAGGTACTGAATGTGACATCTATACCCCTGACTAAATATGTGTGAGGCCATAGTTGTGTACTTTGTGTTCATAGGCTTCTGTTTCTACCTTTCCAGTTCACATATGAAAAGCCATTGAGGGGCAAGAAGAGATGCGGTTGCTGGAAATCTCTGCCTATAAACTGTTGGAAGCACTCTCTTGTCAAAGTCTGTATCCAGAATAGAAGAGGGCATGAAGATGATGATACACAGCTTTTAGATTTCTTTCGTAAGGAAAGGAATGACATGAAGATCGAGTTCACTGAGTACAGAACATATGTTTCAGAATGGGACCCGGATTTCTATTTCTAGTCCACTGCTATATTATTCAGGTTACAAGTTATCTTTTGGCTTGCATAAGTTTTCCCATGACCACTTAAAAAAAAAGGTTTCTCATGACCTTGAACATCTTAATCTAGAGCATTAGGGTAGGGGTTGCAGCTTTATTAATTAGCTCTATGTTGTGTTTGGTTTTGTTTGAGGAAAACCATTTTCCTAAGATACTAGTTTCCAACTTTGGGTTATTTTGGTCAGAAACTTCTCTTAAAAGTAGAGTATAAGCAAGAAATGCCAAAATTTCATCTATTTTCTCCCTCCATGTTGATTCATGATTTGACTACGGAGTGTAGGAGAATGAATGTTGAATAATAAAAAGTGCTTGGTTAGAGTTTGTTTGAAAAGAATTTTATTTAGAGAAACACTTATTAAGAAACAAAGTTTAGCAATTTTGACCAAAAAAAGATAAAAATGGACAAATACTCAAGTATAAAATATTTGTCTTATTTTGTAAAACTTTTAATGTAACTTTCAAACATATAAATTTTATTTTTAAATTCTATACTAATTTGCGAATAAAATAAGTAAATTTTAAAGACTTAAGATTTTGTGATGAGAGATGGTAGGGGAATCCCACTTTGTAAATTAAATACAAACACAAACATTAATCCTTTGTATTGCAGAGACAATTACTATTTTTATTTGTCTTTGGTGTGTAAAATGGAATTCTCAAAAGCTTTATTCTTTTGTGATTAGTGGCATAAATCCATTGTAAACGTGCAAATTCCCAGTTATACCCTTTGGAGTGAAAATAAATACGGAATAAATACAAGTAATAACTTTAATGGATATATTTTAAGTTTTTAACAACGGCTTTGTTTTACATTAGTGGCCAATTTCATAAATATGAAATTGGTCAATTTGACAATATATATACTGCATATCTGTTTAACAATATTCTTGAAGTCAAAAATTAAAACACATTGTAATGTCATTTTATGCTTTCTTTTACTACATGTTTCGTGTAACAAAGGTCAATGTGTGGGGTGTGTGGCGGCGACTTAGGATTTAAGAATAGTACTAAAAGCCAAGAAAGAAAAGAATAATAGGGAAAAATAGATAGAAAAAAGGAATATACATAGGACAAACAATACATGCTAATTGTTACATATATGGACAAGGAAGATGGGTGTGAAAGACACACAATATATCTAAATAGAATGTGCAAAGCATTAAAAAATCATAAACATAAAAGATATGATCTTGACTCACTATATAATTAAAATTATTTAATTAACCCATACATAACCTCCCATTACTCAATGTCTCGTGAGGATACATCTATCAATCAACTAAAGTCATTGTCTATAATCAATTCAATCTCTTTTTGTTTTCCAATAATAATGAATCTCGCCATTTGTTTGAAAACGTTGGCTATATATATTGTCTTGTATGCATGCATGAGTCTGACCGAGTTAAACATATCGATCTAGTTATGTTGGGATGTATATCGTTGGCCTAAGACTGGACTACGGCGTAAATCAATGGGGAGGGGTTCAAATTGGAGCCTAATGTCATCCTATGATCCGAGATCTAATTAAAGCCCATACGGTACTCTGTTAAAAAAATTAACGGTTCCTATCTCACTTCACCTTTTGGTAAACCTCTCACCTCAGCCCGACCCAAACCTATTTTTTATTCAAAAATCAACTAAACTTGGGCGGTACAATTGAAGGGGTGAGTACAAGTTGGCTATGGTGGGGAAATTTACCGGCAGTATTAGGTGGAGTAGGAACCGTAATTTTTTTTGAATGAAACACTATAGAAAACCCAGGTCCTAATGTCATGGGAACCAAGTCATAAATCAATAGGCTCGTTTATGGGGTAAAAGGTTGGTTTCACGGAGATAAAGAGGCTTTGGAGACGTCGCACAAATGATATGGACAGGGGTTGATTCTCAGACAATAAGCATTAACGTTAAGACATTGTTCACCAACAACACTTATCGGTAAACGTGTCACATCAACAAGAGTGATTTTTCAAAATTTTCAAATATTATTTTTGGTATAATGAATTTGGAAGGGAATGAAAAGAAAATAATTTTCTCTCAATTTCCTCACCAAAATGGGAGAAATATGATTTTTCCATCCTCTTAGTATATTTTGTCTTCTCATTTTTTTTTCTACTTTTCCTCTCTAAACAAACAAAGGAAAAAAGGTCTTCCTTCTATTTTCTTTTCCTTACCCTACAAAAATCCACGAACCAAATCTTAGAAATATAGGAGGAGGAAGAACGGTGCGAAGCATTGCTAAAGACTTTGATAAACAAAGAACATTATGATCGGCTTGATAGTTTTAATGAATCGCGTAGAACACTTTCAGATCAAAATTATTTTGAGGTATACCAAAATACTTTAATCGGATAAGACGTTAATAAAAAAACAAACCGTTCGAATTTTAGTGTCTCAACCATTCTTACGAGCCTCTATTTATAGAGTCAAAAATCCTTGATCAGACACGAATAACGTTCATGTAAGGATGAAATCGTTCGCGCAAAGAGATAAAATCAAAAGTCCATGAACGTTTGCTTGAGGAGGTAAACATTCACATTGGTTCAATATAATTATAATATTCATCTACAAATAATGTAGTGTTCATTCTGAAACAAAACAGTACTCATTCTCAAATAACTTAATGTTCATTCTCATGTAAAATAAAATTCATATCATAAATAATATCTTGGTTATAACCAAAATTAGGTACAACCAAATGAAATGGGGAAAACGGGAAAATTTTGTCTCACACTGGAAAAAATAGACAATTGCCGGGGTACGAATGAATACCTTCATTCATGAAACGATTCAGATCTAAACATCCGCCGGAAACCGCCAAACATCACGGCTTCCTATCAATCAGGTAGCTCGCGCCAAACACATAAGAAAGGGAAGCCTATGAAATTTGAAGCCGAAACCCTAGATCGGAATAAGGCGCAGATGGTGGCAGAGAAAGAAAAATGAGCTAGTCGCGGGCAGATCGGCCGGCGTACGGCGGCGAAAGGAGGTGCCAGGAGCTTCAGCTTAGTTAAACCGGAGTAGCCCCTCAGAACCGGAGTATCTGGCTCTGTACTCTACGGACTATAAGGGATGTTTATAAAATACGGAGTACCGTATAAAAAAACATTCTTTTTTTAGTGAATTAGAAAAACATTCTTTTTTTGCTTTATCAAGTATACAAGTACTCCCTTCGTTTACTCCGATGATAGATCCTAATTTCTTTTTTTTTTTTTGAAAAGCACATTATTAGGGCAATGTTCTTTTAGGTTTCAGGAATGAATTTTGGAAGGAATTGGAAAAACAGGAAAGAGTTGGAAAAAACTGAGAGTTAGAAAATGTTAGAAGAATTAAAGTGTTAAAAACTCATTTAAATAAATGATCACCTAAATATATACGTAAGAAAACTCTAATTTTGGATACAAAAGAATTTATAAATTTTATAATATTATTGTATATTCGTCATATATAAAATTCTTTTTTAAGTCGTTGAAAAAAACATAAAGTAGTTAGAAAAAACTCGGAGATAGAAAAAATTGAAAGTTAATTTTTCGAACTCATAAGAACATAGCCGTAATATGAAAGCTAGGAGGTGAGTTGTTCACCCTCTCCCCAACCAACGCTTGATATAGAATGAATAATATCTGCCAACAAATGTATCAATTCATTATTAGAAGAGCGATTAACAAGTCTAAAATTGAGATCTCCACAATGACAACAGATGGAGACACATACAATAATAAATTTAAAATAAGATCAACTTCTATCAGAATGAGTGAGAAAATCAATAACTTTTTTGCAATTAGAGTCTATTCTTTAGAACTGAAAAAAGCTAAAAACTAGAAGAAATTGGAAGAATCTGTATGAAACTGGAAGAACTGGGAAAAATTAAATGAAATTGAAAAAACTAGAAAAAAATAGGAAAATCTAAAAAAAAAACTTTAAAACTTTTGTGTGTATTTTTATATTATTTTCATTCTAATTCTTGTTGTTATAAATTATTATTATTATTATTATTCTAATTCTTGTTGTTATAAATTATTATTATTATTATTGACTGATTTTCCACCATGATTGATGTATGATGAATGAATTGTCGATAATGTAGCGCACGAAATTACATGTCTTCTTTGTGGTAGAATTAGACTTTAAATAGAGGGTGAACCTCCATTGTAACGCAGGCAAGATTAAGCTGATACAAGCACACAAGAGCCTTACTTATTTCAAACCTATTCTCTTTTTAATTCTTCGCACGACATAGTTGTTTGGGCTTAATCCCATTAAAAACAATTAGTTTTACATACTCTCGATATTTACTTTTGAAATGTTTTGTTTTAAAAATTTATTTATTTTTCATTATAATTTTAAATGGTATTTTTAAAAAAATTCAAGGGTGCTGCCCCGAACTCGTGCCTCTCTTGTGCAGTTGTGCCCTTGTCATAAAAATATTGTTGAATCCGCCATTGCATTATAACCTCAACTCATAGAAACCAATCCAAAGTTGACCTCATCAATTGCATAGACAAACAATTGTGTAATGGGGTCACAAACGAGTGAAAGGATAACTCTTTCCTTACACACTTCCGTATTGTTATTTTGGTCTTCCTATAACTTTTATTTATTTTATGTTTTTTTACGGAGTATTATTTAATAAAATTAAAAAAAAATTGTTGCTTTTTATTTTATATACTCCCTCCGTCCCAAAAAGAATGGGACCGTTTGACTTTTTGAGAAATTAAGGGAGGGATATTTTGGTATTGACTTTCAAAAATACCCTTGATGTGATGGGTAAAAGTAGGATGTGATGGGTAGATTATTAGGAAAAAGGTATGGTGTGATAGGTAGGGTATGAAAACGTAAGGGTAAAAGTAGTTTTTTAATAGAAATGTAACGGACTTTACGGGACGCAGTTTTTTCTAAACGTAACAAACTTTTTGGGACGGAGGGAGTACTTTTTTTATATAATTTCTAAAAGTTAAAAAGTACAAAGTTTTGCATTTCTTTGGAAAGGTATATATAATCTAAGGGTGTGTTTGGTGAGCAAACAAGATATGAGTTTTAATATATCCAATTAGTGAAGCCAAAAAGGATATCGAATTCAATATCTCCAGATATCAAAAATCCTTCATATCGAAGGTTTTGATATATTCTGAATTCGGGAGATATCAATATGGGGTCCGATATATCTCCCAATTATTGATCACTCTCCATCACCGGCTACCATTGTCACTCCCAACCACCTTTTTGTTGCCAGTCACCCTCAGTTATCACTAATTAAATCATAATTTTAAATCTTTCCAAATGAATTCACTACAAATTTCAAAACTCATATCATTTCTTGCTGATTTCATAATCCATATCTTATCATATTTCTAAAATTCAACAAACCAGCCCTAATTTTGGACGGATGAACTCCATGGGGCAAGTTGAAACTTGAAAGTGGGGTTGTTTTGTGTGTATTTTAATAGTAGTAACATTAAAAATGATAATTGAGTGTGGAGCCCATTGCACAAGACTAGCGGCGCCAATAGTCTTCTTTCTATCTTTAGTCTTTACTTGGTTTCTAAGCTCATCCAGTTTTTTCCCACACGTTCATTCTTTTTTTACCCACCCCTTCAAGCAAAATTCAACCACTTTATTCCACCCTCATTTCCCTCTCTTTTCTAGCTAAATTCCAAAACCCAAAATTCTCACCCCCTACATTTTTATTCCTTTGGTAAATTGGTAATGTAAAATGTAATAATGTCTCCCACCCCCTAAGCTAGCTACACCCTTTCTCCACCTCTAGGGCCATATCATTTTTTCCCCTCCTATTCCCTAATGTATTAAGTTATTTGTATTCCAATTTATACACTGCAAGTTTATACTTTCATTTTGTGTTAATATAATGTTAGAATGATAGTTCATACTGACACAAAATATTAATGAATTTTTATTAATGCACCAACATTTTATGTCAATGTAAACCATCAAAATGTTAGTGTATACCTTTGGTGTATGGTGTATCTTTGAAGTACACTTTTAGTGTAAGTGTAGCATGGTTCTTTTTTTTTCAATACTATGTATACTAAAAATTATACCTTATTTATACACCAATACTTTTAGTGACACACACAAACATAAACATTTAATATCTCTGCATGCATAAACACTAAATATCTGTTCGTGTCTATAAAAAACTTAGAGAAATACTATAGATTCACAAACAAAATGCTCAGAAACTTCACAAACTTACTATTTGTGGACTTCAATAACAAATTTTAAATAGTCTAGAATAATTTTAAAATGAAAGTTTAAACTATAAACGTTAAGTTTATGAAGTTTGTGACTATTCTGTTTGTGAACGTAGCATTGCTCAAAAACTTACTACGGTAGTATATGTGTGTATATATACAAGCATGTTTATATAAATAAAATATTCAAAGACGTGCCATACATCCCCTATCATAGTATCATCCACCGATAGAGAGATTCTAGTTTAGATTTTACCGTATACATAAATATAAATATATATACAAAAGAAAATCTGTACTTGGATTAGTTTTATTAAATTAATTCTTGAAACAATTTTTTTTATATATTATACTCATAGTAAGATGAAAGGAGAATATGTAGAAGAAAGGAAAGATCAATTCAACACTATGTTTGCTGCTAAGCTTCATCACACCCAAAACTTCCACCACCACAACCCATATCATCAGCCACCGCCGCCGCCGCTTTCTCACGCTCAACCCATCTTCCACCACCCTTTCCACCTTACTTCCGCCGCACGGGAACGCCAGACTTCCGACGACGCCGACAGCCGCAGCCCCACCGCTCAATCCACCGCCACAACCGCCGTGAAGAACCCGCAGCCTGTATCGGCGGGAGTATCTCCGGCGACCCACACGCCGTCCTCCGGCAACGACGGCGCCACGATCGAAGTCGTTCGCCGCCCGCGAGGCCGGCCTCCCGGTTCCAAGAACAAACCGAAGCCGCCGGTGATCATAACGCGCGACGCCGAGCCGACGATGAGCCCGTACATATTCGAACTCCCCGGCGGCGTGGATATAATCGACTCCGTCATCCGGTTTTGCCGGAAGCGGAACACCGGCGTATGTATACTAAACGGGTCGGGTTCGGTTTCGAATGTCACGATCCGACAACCCTCGACCGCCGCTCCAGGGGGCACCCTGACTTTCCACGGCCGATTCGAGATCTTGTCGATTTCCGCCACGGTGGTGGCGGGGCCAGATCCGAGCACGGGATTCCCGCCGCCGAACAACGGAATCGTTAACGGGTTCAGAATATCTTTAGGCGGGCCGCAGGGACAGGTGGTGGGCGGGGCAGTGGCGGGGCCGCTGGTGTCGGCGGCGACCGTGTACTTGATCGCGGCGACCTTCAGCAACCCATCGTACCACCGGCTGCCGGGGGAGGAATTAGAAGGGAAAGACGGAGCGGACAGGCAGAACTCGCCGGAAGCATCCGGCGGAGTGGAGAGTGGGGGCGGCGGCGTGGCGGCCGGGGCTTGTGGGATTTCGATGTACAGCTTTCATATGCCGCCGGCAAGCTCCGATGTGATTTGGGCTCCGACGGCTAGACAACCGCCGCCGTACTAGAGACGGTTGATTCAGATCGGAATGTTTTCTTCTTGAATTCATTGAATATTCTCTAGTCATCATCATCAAATATGGTACTGTGAAAATTTCTTTGTTTCTTTTTTTTTTTCCTCCAATATTTTATCGATTAATTGTTGTCTTAATTACTACTCCTTATTGTAGTTCGTCATTACTTTGTGTTATATACTCTCTCAGGTAATTAAAAAAAGAAAGAGTATTTATGTTTAATTTAATACGAGTATATTTCAAGGAGTAAATTAAAATTTACTCAATAATAATTTGAATATTTTATTTTATTAAATAATTATTAAAAATTTATTTAAATAAAGTTGTTTCATTTTTCTAAATTAGGCATTTCAAAACCATAATTTCATTTCTCTTTTGGCATAGCCAATTCATTTAAAATACAATGGAGTACAATAATCTTATTTTTCCAATTATTTTTTCTATCTTTTCAATCATTTTCGTATTCACTCTTATTTTAATTCACTCATCCTAACCTTTTTCAATAAGGTACGTTATATAACCTCCAAAATTTATTTTTCACTCATATTAGCCTCTTACTTTAAGAACACATTAAAAATATACGGATTATTCATATATCTGCTCTAAGTTTGGAAAGTTAAAATTTAAAAGTATTGACCATAAAATAAAAAACATGTATTAAATAGTATTATAAATTTAATTTCATTTGTTTTGTATTGAAATATTTTTTTATAAAATTCATTTACATATTAATATAAATATTAATGGTCAGAATATCAAATTGGATATCATAAAAAATTAAATAAGAACTCTAATTTGGGGAGTATAGCTGAACTAGTTCACATTTTCCTTTTTTGACTTTTTAAAATATAATTTTACAATTCTTTACTTTTTAATAAAGTAAAAGAATGTCATCCACAACTATTCTTTTTTTAAAACAAATGTAAGTTTAATCACTTTTTTCACTTTAATATTTTTCAGATTGTATGAAATTAATTAAAGTGTTGTAAAGGATAAAACATATGGACCTAGGGTTTTTTAGATCATTGAATTATTGGTATTCCTATTCATGCCTAATTAGGTTAATAATATGGGGTGTATTTTTGGACACAAATGTTTGTTACATAGGGAGATGTGCAAATAGCTTGATGCCTTGATGAGGTGTGACATCCTTGGTGAAGTACGCTATATATTAATTGATGAGCTTGTGACAATTTGGGTTTAACTTCTTAATATAGAATGGTTTGGCTTGGAAGTTTAAGATCATTTTTGGTCCAAACTATTATATATTATGAGGTTTGTTTGGATAATATTTAATGACTCCCTCTGATTGTATTATGAATGGTAACAAATGGAGTTAATTGAAACAATAACCTTTAATGAACAAATCATTTTTCATTACATTTTTTGTAAGACCATGCATTTTTTTGTTGTAATTTTTTCATCTTAACCCAAACTTGTCTTTAGTCACATTTACTCCTCCCAAACATGACCAATTGTGGTTCATGTTATTTAATAAATCTAGTTATTATCAAATTTTATAATGGTATATTAGAGCTAAGATCTCATTTTATGCGTCAAGAAGAGGACGACCTCTCGAAAGTTTAGACTAAAATTACATTATGGTTTGTCTCCTCACTACTCTGTCGGGCCGGGGTGCAGAGTGGATCGGAGTGGACAGATCATTTTATCTTTCAAAAGAAAAAAAGAAAAAGGAGATAGGGGGATGTACTTTGGGTGCCAAAAAAGAAAATGGGACCAAGAAAGGATGGGTTTGCCTTGGAGTGAGGGGTGGAATTGGATAGGGATGAGAGAGAGAGAGAGAGATGAGGGATGGATTTGGATTGGATTGGATTGGATTGGATGGATGGGTGTCGGGTCGTCAATAGCAGAAGATGAGGTTTGGTCTTCTTTGATTTAATTTGTAGATGGGGATGTGCATGTATATGTGTCTTTCCCCAACTCACAAGCTCCCAACATTCTGGTAGTTACATTGTCCCTCTCCAATATATATATATATATATATATATATATATATATATATATATATATATATATATATATATATATATATATATATATATATATATATATATATATATATATATATTGGAGAGGGACAATGTAACTACCAGAATGTTGGGAGCTTGTGAGTTGGGGAAAGACACATATACATGCACATCCCCATCTACAAATTAANCGTTTTTCCGTGTTTATAAGTTGGTCAAAATTATTTATAATTTCCTTTTTAATTGATAAATTATCTGGCGACATATTTTTTTGTGTTTCTAAGTTTCTTAAAATTACTTATAATTTGTTCTTTTACAATACCAATGCACTAAGGTCCATAACACGAAGTGAACGTTAGGGTCACAAAATTTTTTGCCTTAAATTAATAATTCATTATTAGCAAGCTCGTAAATTCCAAAAACTAGTTGAGACTAACAAAATCATTTATTTTCCATTTCTTAATGTGTTATTCTTTCTATAAATTAATAGTCATATGTTGGGTTTACTCTACTAAAATCCAATATTGAATATATATGCATATCATAAAAGGTATCCCGACATCAATATCTTCACTTTATACTCCATCGATCGGTAGTGTAAACTATATGAACCCTGTTGTAACGTTGACATACACAACAAAAACAATATTTTGAATAAAAAAATTGTAATATTATAAATACGTTAAATAGTAAAAAATGCTAGTGTATTCGATGAACATTAAACAATTGCATTTTTTAATTATAAAACAAAACCTTTTTTCAACGAAACTGAAATTTAAATTGCAAAAAATTCTTAAATGATTTTTTTTGTAAATGCACAACAATTTTATACTTTAGCTAATGAAAGACGGAGGGGTTATATTAACACCGAATTTGGGTGTCATAATATAACACCGGCCGAATTGAGGGCCAGCCCTACTATGATGCTGGATTCGAAAAAGCAATACTCCCTCATCTTAAAATGATTTACATCATTAGTATTAACTTTATATTTCTATATCAATTTATAAATAAAATTATTTTAAAAGTCATAAAATTTAACACTATGTTCGAATATGGTAAATTTTTTTTGGGACGGTGGGAGTAGTTCTACCCCACCTTACCTCACTCAAGCTCACCCCTTCACTCCTTTCCTTTCAATTGCAGTCTCAAATTTAGCTGATTAAGGATCAAATTTTTAAACCTCAAAATAACTTAAATTTAGGAGTATAATTGACGGAGTGTTAAGACTTACCAAAAACTAAGAGAATAAGAGCCATTAATTTTTAAACCCCTTGGTTCCCAATGTCATGGGAACCTTGTCCATTTTTAAAACAGAGTAGACTAATTGTCGTAACGGCCTCAATTCTAGAAGGATCTATTCATAATAAACTTGCCTAATGAAAGAACTCTACATAATATGGAATGTATATAAAAAGAGTAATGATTATTGTACTTTGGACATTACTACTTTACTTTGTACACAATCTTAATTAATTTATTCATTACATTCATATTAGGATTAAGTTATGTGTACCCAACATTTATACCCCAATTTGTATCCCGCATGTTTGCACCAACATTTTGTGTTGGTGTAAAACTAATTTTTTGTTAACGCACCAACATTTGTGCCCGTGTACATTTTTGTTAACGCACCAACACTTATGTCGGTGTAAATCATCAAAATGTCTGTGCAAAACTGTGGTGTACAAGTGGGATACATTTTTTGGTATAATTGTAGCATGGTTCTTCATATTATTCAATCCATATATAGATATTCGATTCTTCACACGTCACTATCAAGGGTCAACAAATTAAAGGGTGACGGCGCTACAAACAACAATCAATATATAATGAAATTAAAGAAAGCATTATATATTACGAGTACAACTTTTTTTCAATCCTTTTCTTCATTTTCTTTTGATTTTTTATACTAAGCTAATGATCATTAAATAATATTCCAAAACAACCAAATGTACTTTGAAAAATATATATAGATTTGGACAATATTATCTCCTTTTCATTATCCGAGAGAACAAATTAAATCAGTTGTTAACAACAATAGTACGGAGTACTAAGTCTTACTTTTTATTTTTTTGCAAAAAATTTATAACCATTGGTCCTATGTATAACCTTGGTTTTTACAAATGAACATAATGTAAAATCTTACTTTTAACATGCATGAGGGCTGCTAAATGAGAAAGGAAAAAGATTAAAGTATGAGTAAAACATCAAAAATATACTAAAATACAAGTTTTATGTTTTTATTTTCGAAATGGAATTTAAAATACATATAAAATAATTTAAAATACATATACATTACCAAAAAGTATTGTGAACTGTCTATATACAATACCACATTACCACAGTATAAACTTATATTTTGGGATAAAATATGAAGCTTCTATTTTGATATTTTTTTAGTATTTTACTCCTAAATAAATGAGACCAACTTAAACCTATATATACATTATTTATATGGAGTATAGCCCAAGTTTAAGATGGAAGGGAGAGCGGATACGAGGTGGAGCGCTCACCCCGTGCGTTTCCACTTTGACTCGACAGGATTGCGAGGGAGATAAATTAAGGTATAATCTTAATATAGTCTTTCGAAAAGTCGTCCCGTGCCTGGTGCGTACAAGAAGACTTCAGGATCAATAAACTTAACATCTTCTACTTAGATTGGTTGAGTTATCTATGCAAGCAAATAGAGCAGATAGAAAAAATGAAAAAGGACGAATTGATATATTGAAGTACAAGTCAAAAAAGGAGACAAGGGGAACGTGTGAAGAAAAGGACTTAATTACGTCTTTATTATCCAAATTGTCTTCTTTCACACTTGTACTTCGTTCAAAGAATTTGATGGGAAAAGAAAAATTGAGACTTCTTCCGTCCTAATTTATAGTATCTGTTCACTATTTATAAAGTCAAAATTCATTCACTTTTTTTTATTTTCATTAGCAATTTAGTAAAATAAAGTATTATTGTTACTACTAGTTTTATAGATCTTTTGATATTGTATTTTAATATGAATTTTTATTTTTTAAATCTATACCATTTTTCATATAAAATGATTTGAAAATAATTTCAGTCAAACATCGTAAACCGAAACAGACACTATAAATTGGGACAGAGGGAGTATGAAAAATAATTTTTCTTGTGTAGTTAAGAGGAAAAAAGAAGAAAAATGGAAAGAAAAGAAATGAGAGGAGAAATAAGCTATAGGGAGGAAAAAATAAATTCCCTTCTTCCAATTTGGTTAGGAAAAGGGGAACAATCATTTCCTTTCTTTTCCTCATTAATTCTTTTAACCAAACATAGCGGAAGCATAATCCATTCTTCCAAAATCATTTTCGTATTTTTAATGTTTTTATCTTCTCAACAAAATAAATTTTCTTTTTTTTAATTTTGTTGCTAAGAAATAGACTTGCGATTTACAATAGTATTTTCTTTAAGCTATACAATTTTTAAATTCTCGTTTCTAAATTTGGTGTAATAAAATACTATCTCCCTTTGTCCAAATTTTTTTTTAACTCCATATGTTTTAGTCCTATTTAGTGCAAATTTCACTTATTTAATTTGATAAAATAAAATATTTTAATATCTAGAAAATGGTATTAGAGTCATAAGTATGATAAATGAAATTTGCCAACAAGTATCTAGAATAATTTGAAATAAAATGCATGTTGAGAAGAATATGGCCTAACAAATATTCCGTTAAAATTTATAAAAATAAGATAATTAAACTGTGAATTTGCTAATTTAAGGGGCAATTTCTGAGGTGTACCAAAGAAATAATATCATGGACTTCACTCTTCGTTCCTAAATCCTAAATCATCGTATAAATTTTAATTTGGATCTTTTAAAAAATTGATTTTATTTATAAATTAGTCTAGAAATAAAAAAAATTATTTATAAATTGGCATATAAATAAAATTTGGATCTTTTAAAAAATTGATTTTATTTATAATTTGGATCTATTACATACTCCTTCCATCCAGATTTATTTTTTCCATTTGGAAGAATGTGCAAAATTTTATTTCTTTTAAAATAAATTTATTTATAAATTGGCATATAAATAAAAATACAAATTACACCATTAAAAACTACATCAACAAAAGAAAAGATGACAATTATATGGAGTATATTTTATTGATCCCAACTTTAATTTACTCGGTCTTCAAAAAATAATCTAAATTTTCACTATGATATATTATAATCACAACCACATTGAAATTTACAAATTTTGAGTCGTCGTTAAGC